GTCTTCTTGGAACTCATGAAGCAGTTTGGACTTCTCTGTGAGCAAAAGGTACCGTAAAAATGAATATTTTGCAGCGAAATCAAATACAGTGATGCATTTTATTTTCTAAAAATGGCTCAAATTAACGCTTATTCTATTTTACATATTTAGTAAAGTTTCTTTGAAAATTTAAGTCTTAAAATTGTTTTCATTTAAGAATGTGGAAAGCAGACAACGCTCATTTTTTGTGCCCTGTCGATTGAAGCGTAGCAAAGAGAGTTTGTCTATCAAACCGGACACGGATGGGATGGTATCTATCTATATGGCCTCCGAGGATTTCATCCCCGATAGTATCTTCCACCCTTTAGTTGTCGGCTTGATTAGAATGGTGCAAGACATGGGTTACACGGCTAAACTAGAGTTATTCAGCAACAATGCAATCATCGCTCTAGGACGTGATCACATTCTCAGCCTAGGACCAGTAGTTATTAATAATAAACCTTCCTTAAAGGTAGTGTCACTTAGTTTGATTGATTGACCAACAAGTTGCTTTTTTTAAGGTTATTGTTTTGATTTTAGTATACATGTGTTTTTATAATACCTAAAGCCTTTACTTTTTTTTTTTCCTTTCTTTGTATTTGATTGACATAAATAATAATTATAATGCTGATAAAATAATACACAAGCTTGCATAATATTCCAATTAAAATGAATTCTCTATTGGCCACTGACTTTCACATGGTTGCTGATGAGATGGTGGTGAATCTCGGATCATAAGCTCACTTAGATGAGAATGACATGAAATTGGATTTTCAATTTCAAATAAATCTATTATTGAATGATAATTTAATTGACTGGTTGGTTGATTAATAAATTAATTTGATTTTTATTTTAGCTTGAAGTATTACACAAGCCTATAGATCAAGAGGGAGATACTAATGTGGCAGCGTGTGAACCCAGTCCAAGAGTCTGTATGCAGGTACATTATATTTATGTAATAAAATCCTGTGGTTAAGATATCAGCTGTTAAACAAAATAATTTTGTTTTTTTTATATTTGTTCCTTGAACAATATAGAGTAATAGACATAAGTACAGGCGGGTATGTAAGAAATTTTACTTGGGATAAAA